ATAATAATAATAATAATAATAATAATAATATATAATAATAACAACGATAACGATAACGATCAACGACAATAGTGATAACAATGTCGATAATAATAAAGATGATTATAAGAAAGATAATAGTAATAATAATAATAACAACAACAATAATAATAATAGTAATGATAATAATAATAATAATAACAATACTAACAACAACAATTACAATAACATCAATGATAATGATAATAATAATAATAATAATAATAATAATAATAATAATAATAATAATCATAATTATTATTATTATTATATTATTATAATGATGATGATGATGATGATGATGATGATAATAATAATAATAATAATAATAATAATAATATAATAATAATAATAATAATAATAATAATAAGAACAATATAATAAATATAAAAAAAATAACAATAACAAAATGAATGATAATAATAACAACAACAGCAGTAATGGTAATGATAATGATAAAAATAATAACAATGATAATAATGATAATGATAGTGATACTGTAGATATTAAAGGTAATTATGATATTAAAGATAAAAAGAACAGCAGTAACATCAATAGCATTTGTAATGATGATAATCGTTTTCAATAATATTACTTTCCTAATACATCATAAATGTATCAGTAACTAAAAGCACTCATTGAACGCATACTTCCGCCAAGGCAATAGGATAATGATAATAATTCAAGGGACAAAAAGTTGTCCCTGTCTCGCAATGCTAATAATGATAATAGTAATCCTGGATCCAGATCATGATCCGGATCACCACCAAAATTTAATGGCATTTGCGTTGGGACAAGGCACACGTCTGCTCATATATTTTTGAGTTAAAGTGTGATTAATGATCCGGATGCTTATTCGGTAATAAGAAAGCACACTGAAATAAAGATAGCATTAGGAACAACACTGAGAATAGTGTTTTCGTTGTTGCAAGTAATGAATGGAAATGACAAAATTACTGTCAATCATTACAGACCTGTCCTGCCACACTCCTTTCTTCCACAGTTCCATCCACGTGCAGCGTGACGTCAGTCCCCTGTCCGCGCACAACCACGGACTTCAGCCTCATCAGCCCGCCCACGCTCTCGTACTCACCAATGACTTCAAAATCACCGCCTACGAAGTCTTTGGCCAGGAGATACGAACACGACCCCAAGAATTGATAATGACGGAGTCGAACGTTGTGACGTGTTGGCCTGGCGATAGAGAAAACTCGCTTAATCGTCTTTTTGAGCTCGTTCGCATGCTTTGGCACATTTGACTTGTTCAGAAACTTGGACGACGAAAAGAGAAAAAGAAAAGAGTTGCTTTACCGATTACAGTCCCCGTGGCAGAGAAAGGAGGGCGGAGAGCGCCAAGGTGAGAAAGCGCCCACCATCCCGACGCCATCTCGAAACCTTCCTTGTTGAGTAGCCTCTCAGCCTTCCGTACGGGAGACTCCTGCAGACGAAAGAACAAACGTCAACCTTTCCTTGACACTGTCGCTTTATATGCTCTTAAATACTATATCTTTCTTTTTGTTCTTCATGTGTGAGATACATCCTTATCTCGTGCCCAACTTGCCTGCCGGAAGACGTTGGTGAAGCGATGCCATTGCGGGTATTCTAGGAAACTTGTCAAGGAACGGGGAGGTGCTGGTTGTACTCGATCCTCCCATGAACGGCGGGCTCGAACACTATGGACCTGGGAGGAAGAGCGTTGATCCTTTGTGTAATGTTTATACTTGCCACTCCGTTTTAAAGAATATTATGTACACTGTGACGTAACTAGTTGTGGATTATGTGGTGATTAACATGGTAGAATAACCAGTCTCACGGAAACAACTTGATACAGCACGATTAAGTTATAAAAAGAAAAAAAAAAAAATCTTTCGTAACATCGGTACTTCTGAAAACCACGAAGAAAAAAATGATAAACGTAATCATGTACGAATAAAGATGCCCTCCCGTTTTCCATACACCTTTCTTCTATCGTACAATTTCTCTCAGCCTTTAGACTTACTCATCTACGAAGAAATTATTGTCCAGAAGTAGAGTCTGTAGCCCGTCGATCACGGCCAAGACAATACGTTCGAATTTCTCCAAGTCGTGGCGTTCCTCCTGGTTCCACCGCTCCCAGGTCCACACCATCTGTGTGATGCATTGTGGGCAGATGATCATTAGTGTCACGTGACGGTGCCTTTTTGTTTTACTATAGCATCAGTTGCTCTATAAATTCTCGCGAGATTACTCACTCTTTCATAAACATTTCCAGCTGCTGCATTGATGTAATCAAAGATAATATTGCCTTCGGCATATAAGCGGAAAGTATGCAAATTCTCCTTCAGTAGATTAATGGCTTCATCATACACATTCTTAATCTTGTTGCCCAATTCGGAGATTTTCTGTTCAAACTGAAAAAGACGTCAGGCATAAATTTTCGTCATTATTTGTCTTTAGAATCTGATTTCGGACTGGATTTTTAATCCAGATTTATATGTATTCT